ATTATATATTTAATATATATATATATATATATATATATATGTATATATATATAGATAGATAAAAATAAGAAATTTAACCTATTATTATTTAATAGCATACATAATTTTTATTCTTTTATATTTAAAGATATAATTATCAAAGACATGAATCTCAAAAAAAAAAAAAAAAATCCTTGATATACTCTTATGTCATTCAAAAAAACTAGAAAGTTACTCAAAGATGATATGATATTAAATTAGAATGGCTATGCCAAAGACAAGAAGACTAGAAAGACTTAGAACAAGACTAAGGACTAGAAAGGCATTGAAAAGAGTAAAGAAGGCTTCATTCTTGCCTTCATATATATTCTTAACTAAGAGATATATAGCAGTGTTCTATAAGACCTCTAAAACATGTTGACTTTGCAAGACACATATTATAACTTGCAAGGCAAGTTTTTTATGTGTACACCACATGATTAGCTTGTTCTGCAAGCTACCAATAGGTGATTAACTTATTGACCAAGTTACTAATGTATCAATCAATTATAAACACATATAAATTCAAAACAACATCTATGAAGCTTCTCTTAAAAATATTATCAAATAAATCTACTTTTATTTACTTTTATTTAATCATATAGATAAATATTATAATTAATATGTATGTCCGTGACAATACCTCCCTTTATAGGAACAAGTTTCACAAAGACTGGTCTTCATAGGTTGCCATATCTTGAGTCATATATTAGTAAAATATCAAAGATACGGCAAATTATATTTGCTACATACTCTAATCTTTATTGTCTTCAAAGATGATTGATAAGTCGTCTTAGCCATTGATAGTATTTTATATCAAGGCAAGAAGATTATCCTCTTATTTGGTCATTGTTGAGGCCTTTGTAACTTCCTTCAAATAAAACATTTGAAACATTGTCAAGAATTGTTCTTACTTCTAATAAAATCACCAAACATCAAGAATTTCTTCCAAGGTCGTAATACTAAACACATTGCATTTTGCCATCTATTCAAGGTAGAATATGTTATTCTTGAGGATCTTCATTTTAATTATGTTGTCTTAAAGGTTGTTAAAATCATAATGTCTTGTCTAGTAAATCAACAAATGAAAGCTTTTGAATTAAATTTATTAATTATTGATTTTCTATCTTCTTAATATTATAATTATACAAAAGCTACAAACAAAGATAGAAAGTAGAATGCTATCATATTTAGAACTTATCTCTTTTATAGTAATGATTTGGTATTCTTCATTTTGGTTTTGATGGATATCCTCAATGAAAAGCCTCAACTCTCTTTATTGCATTTGTAAGATTATTTATTGGCTTCTATGTGTGTTTATTAATATCATATCCATACTATTGAATAAGATATTTTAATCTATTTTGGCATCACATTGAATCTAAAACTTCTTCTACCTTGAATTCTTGATTATTATCTACTTCTATAAAAGAAAGTGGGATTTATCTTCTTTCTAAGATGTTCACTGTCTTATATGACTCAAGAAGAGATATATGAAATATGAGATGGATCTTTACAGACTTGAATAGATACAATTGAAAAACAACAGGATTGACTTGTTTATAAATAAAAAAAAAAGGTCTAAACCTATGATAGTCCAATTTTGACATAGGGATGAGTAGTCTTGATATTACAATGGAGTAACTATACCTTGTCATTCATGCTGAATTGTGGTTTTTCTTTGTAATAAGAATCTGCATTGATCTTTTATTATTCTTGAGTTTTTTTTAACTATGCTTTTATTTTTGTATGTAATTCTAACAAATTTTATTGGCTAAGTAAAAATACATAAGTTTAGTACATCCAAGTTCCAACTGGTAGATGCAAAAGCTTTCATGCATGCCACAAAAGAAAAGTCATCTTTTATTACATATGCTAAGTCGATTTTATATGGTGGAAAGATGTCAAGTAGCATTCTTAACTAATATCAAGATTTCTAAGTTGTTTTTAAAAAGAAGAATGTGGATATTCTTTCAAAGTATTGTCTTTATGATTGTTCCATCAATCTTCAAAAAAGAGCTCAACTCCCATTTGGACCAATCTATAGCCTATCATAAAACAAATTAGTTGTACTCAAAAAATATGTTTAATAAAAATTTGGCTAAAAATTCTATATGCCATTTAAAATTTCAAGCAAAAGTTTCTATCTTATTTAAGAAGAAAAAAGATAGATCTCTACAAATGTGTGTAGACTATCAAAGATTCATCAACATCACCATCAAAAATAAGTATCTTCTATCTTTGATTTTAAGACTTCTTGATCAACTGAATTAAGCAAAGATCTATACAAAAATAGATCTATAAAGAATATATAATTTGATATGCATTAAAGTAGGAGATGAATAAGAAACTGCATTTCAAACTAGGTATAGACATTTTGAATATAATATCATGCCTTTTAAACTCATGAATTTACTAATTTCTTTTCAATACCTAATAAATGTTGTCTTTCATGAATGACATCTTAATATACTTTAAGAATACAAGAGAATATAGAATTCATATTTATTGTGTATTAGAAAAACTTAGAGATACAAGATTATATACCAAATTAAAAAATTATATATTCCACACTACTAAAGTTGACTTTCCAGGATACATCATTTCCAACAAAGAATTAATGATGGATTTAAAAAAGGTCTAGACTATCATGGATTGAAAAACTCCAAGAACAATAAGAAATGTGCAATGCTTTTTAGGCTTTGCCAACTACTATTGGATCTTCATGAAGAATGTTTTTCAAGTTGCACCTCCACTTATACATTTGACTTGTAAAGAAAAACTTGAGTAGAGTAAAGAAGCCAAAACATTGTTTGATGCTTTAAAAAAAGAGTTTATATATATACCAATCTTATATAGTATTGACTTCTCTAAGGCATTTTTCATGGAAATAGATGCATCACACTTTGTCTTGAGTGTAGTATTGTCACAAATGGGATCTGATAACAAAATCCATCTAATAGCTTTCTATTCCAATTTTTTTATAGCACTCGAGATTAATTATGAAATCCACAATAAAGAACTCTTTGTAATTGAGGATTCATTTCAAGAATAGCATTATTATTTAGAAGGCACCTTAAGTCCAATCATTATGTATACAGATCACAAGAACCTTAAGTACTTCATGTTGACACATATTTTGAATTATTGTGAAGCTCATTGGAGCATGTTTGTTTAGAAATATAATTTCAAGATCACTTATCAATCCAAAAAATAAGGTTTGTCGGATGCCATTTTTTGATATTCTTATTTTGCACCAAAAGAAAGAAATGCATCTTTTAATCAGCAAAGAATGATTTTTTTGAAGTTGGGGCATTTTCACCTTCGAGTAATAAAATCAACATTGATTGTTGATTCAACCTTTGTCAAGCAAATTCAATCAAGTTTGTCTTCTAATCTCCTTATTCATGATAACAAGAACAATTCTTCTAAATGTCATGATACTTCCAATTTTGAGTTCAAAAATAATTCTACAATCAGATTTAAAACTATTATTGTTTTTTTGATTTGTATAAAGTTCTCTTAATTTCATCAATTAAATATTTTATATAAAAATATAAAAATAAATAAGAATATTAAAATTTTAGTATTATATTATTAAAATTAATAAATTTTTAGCAATATCTAAAAAATTATAATAAATTTTTATACTTGAATAAAAATTTAGAAATTATACTATAAGTTAGATTTTTTAAAAAATATTTTTGTATAATAGAATTATTATATTAAATAAAAATTCTATTCATTGTTTCTTTTGTAAAAATAATAAAATTTAATTCTATTTTTTGATATTTTGTCATTATATTTGTTATTTACTATATTTTATAATAAACCTCTTGTTTTAAAAATTATCAAGATATGAAAAGTGCACAATCATATAAGTGCATTTTTTGATACATGCTCTCATTAAAAAAATATAAATAAATAAATAAATTAAAAATTAAGATTGCAAAGTAAAAGACGTCACTTAATTTATAATTTGTCTTTCTTAAATTGCATAATCATGATAATTCAAGAAATTTTAATAAGCAAAGATGGTATCTATGTTAATGCTTTAAAATTTATAAGTACTATTATAATTAACAATCAATTATAGATTTATTTTTTATTTTTTTGTTGTAATAATTTAAAAAATTAAACTGCCATTATACCAATTATTGAATATTAGTAAAATAAATAAATGGTATATAAAATTGATTATCCCAAATATAAAATATATAGAAATGCATGAATCCTTATCACATCTAAAGAATATTTTTTTGCCAAAGAATTTGAATCCTAATAGAAAATCAGATATTATATTGCTATTTTGAATTAAATATATCATATGATAATTTTTTAATTTTTATAAATTGATTTTTAATAAAACAATTTATGTATATACCATTTAGACTTTTAGTTTGATTTTCATAATAAATAATTTGATAATGAGTCAAAAATTACCTTTAGACTATTTTCTATCTTTAGTCTAAAAATTCAACTATACACACTTATTTTTTTGATATATTTATTTATATATAATTTTAATTAAAAAAACATCTTATCTTTTGGTTTTGAAGTTTTTTATACATTTATTTATTAATTTACTTTTTTTTTTTTTTTCTATAGATTCAAAATATATTTAATTTCTTACAATGTAACTATCTTTTCTAATATAATCAGTATGGTGATAAATGATCTCTACATTATGTGGATAAAATATTAGTTGATTAGTGACAAATTTATCAAAGTAATGTTTTTTTAGACTTGGAATGATTAGAATTTTCTGGATGATCTTCTGGGCCACGAGGTCAATAATACCTATACAAAAAAACCAAACACAGTATTTAAAATGTAATATATGAAAATTAAATTTTATAATAAATTGAAGAATAAATGTACTATGTTTTCACCAATGTTTGAACTCAAAGTTAAATTCGGCGGTATTGCGAGGTATTTGGTCGGGTGCTTTAAGGATGTGATTGGTCTTTTAATGGCTGCGTATAATTCTGCTTCACCTCTCTGCAATGCACAGGTTTAATAGTCATGCTTTAGGGCTTTTTGGAGGTGTTCATTTGGAATTTGCTTCCCGTTGCAATCAGCGAATGTGCAGTTTCAGGCACCAAAGCGTAGTGTAGTGATGTGATGAGGCGTTGTGATGTTAACTGGAACTGGCACCATTCTCAATCCAGACCGTTATGTAGGCGACCCACTCGAGTTTACCGTCCATTACGGCTATGAGCCCTAAAATATTAGCTAAATTAGTGTAATTACCTCTCAGATTATCATCCAAAGCGCTCTTTTCTTCCATCCTTTATTCTAATTTGCAGTGGTTCTCTTCGTATTTAAGTTTTGCGCCGCATTTTGATTAGGGTTCATCGCCTTTGGGTTTCGATCATGTCTTCCTTACATCATCTGCGGACTACCGAAAGAGTCGTGTGCATGCATAGCGATCAGGAGATTCATACGTACTCATTGTATATCTTATGGTATTCCTGTAATTGTCGAATTTACTTGTCCAAAAAGCAGAGAGAGAGCACATGCTTAGAATTGTAGCCTCATCTGTTAATGTGAAACCATTGAATTGCAAAATAAAATTGGATCTCAGCAGCAATAGACCTTGCATTTCCAACGCTTGAACGTCGGTGAAGCCACTTTTTGGTAATTCTCTGCTCGTCAACTTGGTCACGTGTTTCCTTAACGAATAAACCCGACAATGCTCGGGTAATGTTGTACACTTGTGACAGGGGTTCATGATTATCTCCGAATGCTCTTTGAACAACAGTGTTCAAATGATCGACTTCTGAAATTGTCTCCAGAGTGCTTTGGGAACCCCGCTGGCGTGCTTACATCCTGGATTTAGTCACGTGCTTATCAGATTTAGAGTATTTTCACAAGTCTTTTGTCGAATTTTCTTGCTTACCAAATTATTGCGTTGCATGATCTGGATTCTACCCTGCTGTAATTCCTTACTTATGTGTTGCACTTTTGTCAAGGTTTATTGCTTTTCGCCCGCCTACATTGCTGGTTTAAGTTTCCAGTAGCTCAGCCTTGTATACTCTGTTTATTTCTTCCCATCAATCAAAAAGAACCTAAACTGAATTGTTTCTTTGCTTTTAGTCTATGACATGTGGCATTCCTTCGAAAAGACAATGTTGCAACTTCGATTCGCAGTTGAATAGGACGAGAAAGAATCTGTCAAGAGGGTATAGCAACTCGTAGAACGAACGAATGTGCTTCAAAATACCATTGAGAGCTCAGTAAAGTTTGGACTCTTTCGATTGTCTGTTGATGTTAGGGAACTATCTTCAGCGTGCAAGGATTGAACAAAAGACGAGGAAATTGTTGGAATTGAGTAGTTCAGTCTGTCTTGTGGGGAAGGATTCTATCATGGACCCCGAAGAGGATACCGCTGGTAGTGGGTTACAAATGCTCTTGGACAGGTGGAAGCTGCAGGAAGAACAGTTGCAAATGTTCGAGGAAAGTTTGAAAGAGGTGAATTGTTTTATGACGAACAAAGAGGTTCAGGAAAACCCGGATTCGAGTGTTCTCGAGGCAGTGACGCAGCAATCTCTGCTTGTTTTTAACAATGATATGCCAGGCGCAATTGATCAAGATTCGACCTTTTGCCTGTCCTCTGCCCGAAGCATTGCCTCGACTGAAGACGGCTTTGGGTACAATCTGCGGAAACTCGGGCAACATGCGGTAGAAGACACAGATACGCTAGCTCCGACCAAGGATGATGAATCATTGGAGGAGTATGAAAGGAGGATTTGGGAAATTGTTCGGAGGGATGAAGACTTCTTAAATGCCAACATTGGCGAAGGAAGGAGTGCTTTTCCGCAGGAAGCTGCTTGCACATCTTCGAAAGGCATTGTGGAAAGATTAAGCAGTGCAACGGCACTGTTGCCTGCGGAACAGTTGAAGGTCCTGAAAATCGCTGTAGATGTCGAAGATAAAGAGCCAAGCCCGCGTAGAAGTTTCTTGGGAGCAATGAAAATGACGAGATGCGGGGGGCAACGCGAAGCATCTGCATTTGATAAACCCAACCCATCCATCAAAATTGAGGGAGACGGAGCTGACATTTCAAGAGCACAACTACTAGCACGTCTTGCCAATGTGGTTGATGATTGTGAACAGAAACAACAAATACCTAATTTTATGTTCGTTGAAGAGCTAAAAGAGATAGTAACAGCACCATTGGTAAATAAATGTTCTGAGACCATTAGGGGAGCTTCTAACGTGGTGAACCTGGAGTCAGGGTCTTCATCCATATGTGATGAGGAAGGCAGCAGTCGCGACGAACTGTCCGAACAGAGAGCCAGGATCGTGGAGGGGATCATGGCAGCTGAAGTCCAGAGGCAGATGGAAAGAGAAAAACTACAGATTCGCCGGAATGAGGCTTTGAACCAAGAAGCAGCGGCAGTAGCGAACATGGAGAAGTTTCTCAAAGTGAGTAATTCTTTTTCTTAGAAAGTTGAAAAGCTTGTCATATACTAGTTAGTTGCTGATCTCATCGTTCAGTAACTTTCAAGTGTCCTGTAAGTCCTGTAAGATAACAATATGTTAGACCTAGTATCCTTTGACGTCCTTGAAATCCGTAACTGAGTAGTATATGTGCTTTTACGATCCAGAGGCTTAACGCTAGAGGCTGGTTATTTATTGCACATCATTTCTCTGTGAGACCTTCAGAGAATAACCATTTTGAACACACAAGCATTTATTTTTCAGACGTGTCTAGCATACTGTTTCAGCTCTTTCCAGTGTAAGGACACCTGTTTTGCCAGATTGAGCACTGACTCTGAAGTATAGGACCTGTAGAATCAGTTACAAATTGAGCAAGAGGGGAAGCAGGGAGCCATGGAACAAGATGATAAATTGTGGCAGCAGTAAGTAATTCGTGCTATTCATTAGCGGTTACAACTTTTCGATCCCGTTTTTATTTCCTTGATTTGTCCACCCAGTAACAGAATCACAGCTTCGAATGTTTCGTGAGTCTTCTGATCTTATCCTAACCCTCATAATAATTTAGAGTTATTGCTTTGCAACTGTTATGGTATGGACGTGATCGGGAATTGCAGGAGATATGAGCAAGAGCAGAGGGTGTATGAACTTCAGCGGGAGCTGGAGTTCAGTAACGCTACTCTCCGAAAAATGACCGTCACTTGGGAAATATATGAAGAGCCACCGGCGAAAACTAAAAAGTTGGAAGAGGTACACATTAATCCTGATTTATGTGTTCAACCACATAATCCAAAGATTAGAGAAAATTTATATTTAGTATAAACATCCGCTATTTCAGTCACGTCAGTGTGTTAGATACCAACAATCTTTCCACCACATTATGTTGATAATGTTGAATCCTTCAAGTTTAAGAGCCCACCTATCTTACCTGGTGTGAAAGGAGGAAAAGAACACAACAGCGCAAAGGATTGGAAGAGCTTTCAGGGAGCGGAAAAGATGCAGAGAGCTCGTCTATTGTTGTACTCTCATCCAAAAAGTTTTCCGGGGATTCCTCTCTCGGCGCATATTTCGGGAGCTTAAAGGTCAGAGATCCAAGGTAGAAATACAGAGAACCTATGTGTATCTGTCTCCATTACTTCAGTGCACAATGCAGGGTGCAGAGGAGAAATATGTACTTGCGTTTCGAGCATTTTTATCCAGACAGAAATAGGATATGTGCGGCGGTGTGTATAAATGTCTTAGGGTTCCGGATCATTATTGGCGGTTTGATTTGAAACCAAGTGAGAATATTAGCTGTGGTTGATAGTGCCCCTTAATATGAAGGATTCAAACTTCTCGACACTTTTAGTCTGTGCTGGTCTTCATTCCTTGGCTCTGTGGGCTTTTACCAGAATGATCCTCGACATTTTCACAAGCTTGATATTACAGTAAGTATTTTACATATATGATCGTCATTTTAGTGTCCCACTGGTTCGAAGTTTTTGAATTTGTAGATATTTCTCCAGGAGATACTCAAATCTACGGCTAAGAATCGCGAGGCTGCTTTTAAGAATCTGGTACGGGTTTCTGAAATAAGCAGTCCGGAGGAGTACGAATCCGCCATGGAAAGAGCATTGTCATTAGATCTTGGAGAAGAAGTTGAATTGATACAAGAACGCAGAGAAGCTGCCAAGGTGGAAATGAGCAACTGGTTGCGGCAGGTACCAGCTAGTTGTTTGGGATCCAGAAGTCTGATTGTTTCTGACAAGATCAAAGAAGCTCGACGATTAGGATTGACGACATTGGCAGAGGCAACACAGGCGATTATGTTAGAGAAAGAAAACAACATATTGACAGAGTTAGTGCTTTTCGAGTTCTCCCTATCATGGCAATTGATCATGTGTTAGCATGATTTCCAAGGAAGTGCTTATTTTAGCGAGAAACTCGAGGCAGATAAAGTTTTTACTCTTGTATTTTTGGTGTAATTTTCTCTCGATGTTTAAAATTGATATCTAAGGAACTTCAAAATCAGTTCATGTAACAACTTCTGTTCTATTTAATTTTGCGCAGATTAGAGATTTCAATGAGGTCTGGTGCTCTGAAGGTTTTCCATCAGTGTCAGCGAAAATCTAAATTTTTTGGTTTGGGAGAGCCCGTCGAAAAATACTCTGCGGAATTTAGGGAGAGGGTTGCCATGGTGCAGAAACGGTTGATGCAAGCGTCAGTCCGCAACTACGAAGCAAATGTCTTGAACCTCTTACTGGAGGGATCCGATCTAGGTTTAGAAACAGAGGTAGCTGCAGTTGTAAGAAATATTCGCAGCCAAGTTTTAAGGTTTGCAAAGGGGTTGATTGAAAAAATTAGCATCTTTATCAGTAAAGGTGATGGTTTTCTTGAAAAGTGGAGTGAACTTCAATCTTGGGGTAAAGTCTTTGGAATTGGAGAAGATGTTTTGAAGTCTTTGATGCAGGCAATAGGATGCAGTGTTCTTTTAGAGCACACAAAAGTAAAAAGGTCTTTAGTCGTAGTTCTTGAATGTGACTTCATGGGGCGTCCTGTTTGTTATTCATGTGAAACACAGAGTGCAATACTCAACGTAAAAGACTTGGAGTTGAAGTATTCTGATTCGAACATGTACTTTACTGATTCAGACACTTTAATTATGTGCTTATTACTATTATTACTACTACTACTATTATTATTATTATTATTATTCTTATTGTTTCAATAAGTTACTCATTAGCGGCTTGGGGGCCTGGACTAAGATGTGTGCGTTTGAACTCGTGAACTCCAGTTTGTACCTGATTCTTACAACTCCGTGCTATTTTGGACAGTGAAGCAAGTGAATCGGTCAAAAGAAAATTTTCAGGATATGTAACAATTCCCTCTCTGGACACGTATTCAAAAAGCTGGAATAAAATCGGCAAGCTGAAGAATAGATGGAAAAATCACTGTTCTCAAGCGTTTCTGAAAACTTTGCCATCTAAAAGGCGAGCTGAGCCTTTGGGAATTTCCAAGACACAACAGGATGTCGTTCTAAAAACCCATCATCATCAAAGCGGCGCACACTATACAAGAGAAGCTATAGATATTAGTTCTGTTGAAGAAAATGGAGTTGTGGACCATGTTATTGATGGTGATTATTGGTACACCCTACGGCCACACTTGCGTGGGATGGAATCCTCGTCCAGCTGTACTCTTACGAGAAAATTGCTGGAATCAAGTGCACATTGTAACCGAACCGGACTGCTGGGTGTCACGAAACTCAGCATACCGCACAAGGAACTTACATCCCTAGGCATTGGGATGCTCGGCCGATGGTGCCCCAAGTTGCGGATCTTCATGATCAATGAGAACAGGCTCAGCACCCTCAAAGGAGCATTTTATGGTTGCGAGGGGTCATTGGAGTATGTCCTTGTCAAGGACAATCTTCTTAATGATTTAGAGGGTTTAGAGTCCCTACAGAACCTGAAAGTTTTATTTCTTGAGGGGAACTTCATTTCCTGTATTGGCTCAGGCACAGGCGTGCAAATAGATTCAGAGGAAATGAATGTTGCCGCAGCAAAAACATCTGGAAGCAGTTGTTTATCCACAACTCCACGCGCATCGTGTAGGAGTTACCAAGGGACCCCAAGAATTGCTGAAGTCAGAACTGATTCTACTCGTCGTGAATGTGTAACCTCTAGGGACACTAACAAGCATCGTGCAAGTACCCTATGGCCTAAGCTGGAGAAGCTGAGTTTGGGTAACAACAGGATATCCAGGATATGGGAATTGGGTAGCCTTTTTCCAAATCTGGAAGTTCTGGATCTTAGATCCAATGAGCTTGTCACGCTCGGTGGATATGAAGGAAAGGGGCTTTCTGGCCTAAAACATCTTCGACTTCTTGATGTTGGGCAGAATAAAATCAAAGGCAGGAGTCTCTGGAACGGTTTGGGCCACTGCCAGTTATTAGTGTCCTTGGTTGCCTCAAGGAATCGGTTGACGGAGCTTCCTACCCACTTTGGCAGTGTGATGCTTCGTGAAATTTGGTTGAATGGAAATTGTATACGACGCCTTGCATGTAAAGCTTGGCTTCCTAATCTGCAGCGGTTTTACTTGCAGGATAACTTGATCGACAATCTCGAATCCTTGTACGGTTGCCCCTCTCTTGAGGTGAAACTAATCCTGTATCTCATATTGCTGACTTCTTCTTGCTGACTTGAACTTGTAAGTTGCACAATGGAGACATGTCCAACAGGTGTACACCTTGGTCTTCCAGGTACTTGACATATCCTTCAACAATGTATCACAGCTAACCCAACTAAATCATTTGGCATCGCTTCGTCGGTTGCGGACACTTCAGATGAATGATAACCCCATCTCGGATCAAGAAGATCACGTTGGCAAGGTTTTGGAGGCAGTTCCTTGGCTAATTGAACTTGACAATGAGCTAGTTGAAGATAGCTTTCGAGAGAAAGCAGTCCAGTCTATTTTCTCGAAGAATATGGCGGTTGCGGGCATTCGATATCTTGACGAAAAAATAGCTCGTGCAGAAAGACCTTTTTTATCGTTTGCAAACCCTAAAGACGTGACAAAACACTGGCTCGGAGGTTTCAGTGACCGATCTGATTCTAGCAATCAATCTGGACTTGCCAAACTAGAAGCAAACAATAGGGATATAATAGCGGTAATGCAAGGTAAGGCAAAATCAGCGGTTTTGTGGGCTGCTGTCTTTGACCTGCATCGAATAGCCGAAACTAATCCCATTTTAAGGACTCGTTTGAGTTGTGCAATGGGGACTAACTTGCACCCTTTGGTTTCCCTTCCTTGTGATACAAATGAAGAGAACTGGAATCACCTCGCCTTTCAGGAAATGCTTGAAAGCCACAGGAAAAGTCAATCATGGTCGAAAGAAACCAGCCTGAGAAAGGAGTTTTTTGGGCAAGAAAGCAAGTCTGGACCTCAGATGACGAAGGGAACCAACCTTAGTAATGAAGGCATCATGAGTGTGTCTCACAATGTTGAGCGGTACCTGTCAGATCACTTGGAGGACGAAGACTTCAAGTACAAAAATGTTTTCAAAGAGAATCTGGAGTATAAAGCTGATATTGAAGTTGAACTGTCGAGAGTCAGACGGTTGCAAGCTTTAGCAAGGGACATGCTGACTAGGAAAAGGTTAATAAAGATGCAGAAGCTGGCTGTAGATGTCCTTGCGCCACGAGAAGCACACACAGAAGCAGAGAGGCGGAGGTATCAAAGCAGTGCACTAAGAATTCAGGCAAGTTTGTATGATATCCAAACGCCACCTACTTGGCAGGATTGAGGTGAACATGGGCAAAATGCTTTTACAAATACTGGTTTATATTACCCTTGAAAACCGTCTTTTTCCTAAACATACAGGGCGCTTGGAGAAGATGGGTACGAAGAAAATTTATGATATCAGTTGTTAAATTGCAAGCCTACTGGAGAGGCATTCGCACAAGGAAACGTTTTCGACAAGCTTTAAGCAAGCTCCAATTCATTGATGATGATGATTTCGAATATGTTGCTGTTGATGAAAGCGAATATACCCTCGATCCCACAGTATTTGAGAAAAATTTCATACCCTCCAAATTTCGAGTTTCCGTTGAGGCTTTGGTCTGTTTGACAAAGAGATTTAACATGGAAACAAGCTCTAAAGAAGAAATTCAAGCCAAAATATCAAATAAAGAGGGTTGTGGATCAGGTTCAAGCGAGAATATCGACCCATGGCTAACTCGGAGTGCTGATAAGTTGCGAGGAACGGAAGTTGCAATTCCATATGATTTTAGTCAAAGCGATGACATGCGGATACAAAATGAAGAGATGGAAACACCAAGCCAGTCGGTCAAACGATTGTATCGGATGAAAAGTACTGGTTCTCGTTTCCATCTACCCAAGATAGAAGTCGCACCCACCACTGCAGCAACGCCACCACTTGACGCATCCAATTCTCTGATAACAAGTGCAGTACGTGAATCACTTTCTCAGCTGCTTATCATTGCTTGTGCTAAGATGACTTAGTCTGTGTAAAATTTTCCTCTTGGGATTACAAAATTCATTGTTGAAGTCCGTATTTAAAGGAAAATGAAATACATGCACCAATTTCTCCGAAAAGCACGTTGAATCTTCAAGTTGCAGGGAGAGATAAGCATCGTAGTGCAGAATGAAGTTTTTCAGAGATCGCTAAAAGAAACACCACGATGTGCAATTGAATCTGACCGAAAAGCTAAGGTACGAATTTGTGTGTATGTATCAAGTATTTCATCATTTAGTTCCTCTAGATTAAGATTCGCATTGGAAATGATGCAGTAATAACTCGAGAGTTTTAAACTTCAACGTATTCTCAGTCGAGTTTGAGCGAATCTCTCTTTAAACTATAATGTTCCATGTTGAAATATACCCTTGTAACATTACAAACCAATGTTTGTTCTGTCTGGAAGTCATCTATCACTATTTTCATCATATTCAGGTGTGGTTTTGCTTCACCATCCAGGCACACCTCTGTGGAAAGGAAGTTCGAGCTGAGAAGAAGAAAACAACTATAGCGGAGATCGCTAAAGACTGGTTCTTTACTTGTTTTCATTTGCTGCTTTCTTCACTGTCTACTTATATAACCACCAATATTATAGATCCTAATCATTCCAATAATTATTTAATTGTATACTCAGGAAAGAATCAGTCGCCGTAGTTTCTTGACGCAATCTACCTTCCAAGTTTGATCTTGAGGATCTATCTACATCATCACATCGTTTCATGGCTACTTTGAGTGTCGTAATAGGTTACGCAAGACAAAGTTGAGTGTTTTTTTTTAGGTTTCTGCTTCTGCTGTAAACATTCTTGCAGGGGATTTAATGATGAAAGGACAGCTGAGGCATACATGAAGTCCAGGACTAAGGTTATGAAAAAGCTTGAAAAAGTTAAAGCTGTACATCAAGGTCAGAATTTCTTGAAGACGTTAGGAAGATATGAATGAACGGGGAGAAGCACCAGTTACTGTAAAATCAACCCAAGTGCCTAAACTATGTTAGCCTAAAAGAAAAACGAAAGATTCAAGACTTTTCTTAATGTTTGTAAAACCCAATTCAACAACCGAGACAAATCAGCAAAGAACCTCGATTAGTTCTACCTAGTTTTCTTTTTAGTTCTGAACTGAGCTCTTGTTACCTTTCTAATATCTACTCTATTCCAATCTGTGCTAAAAAATGAACGCTTCTGAATTTGCAATTTTTTATTGCACGGGATGGCTTCAAGTCGCGATTATTTTTATCATGTTTCAAGTAATATCAACAATGAAGATCCTTTGTATGAGGAAACCATACTGCCTTTGCAGGTGCACAAAGCCGATTTGAGTTGTTCAAGGCCAGATCAGAAGAAACTTTGGCCCACTCACCTCAGTGTGTACATGTCAAAAAAACTGCCCAGCGACCAAGTATTTTCATAACTTTGTTGATTACACATGAATGGAGTTTAGTACGCTTGCCATGCTTAGCTATATGTTAGGAGGACTGTTGACGGAGCTTGAAGTACCTGAGTGGAATTTAGTTTATTAAAAATCCGCACTGGCATTCAGCATAAACCTGAGTTGAATGCATGTAGTTTAATTCAGATTGATTCACCTTTGTCTCACTATAATCCTAGTTAAGAATGAAAGGTTCCTCAGCTCCTTCAACGATGGTTATTTACCTATTCGTAGGCAAAGTAGAGAAAGAAATTGTTCCAATTGCCGCCGTCGACTTGAATATAGTAGAAGAAACTCTGGAATCTAGAAATCAAGCTACTGAATTGCCAGCCCTCGTTCAACGTGTTCGACAGCCGTATTTTAAGAAAACAACCAACAGAAGTTTGTCACGCTTGGGTCTCTTAACAGGCATGTGAAGACATTCTCTATACCCGACTCGATGTGGTTGAAACTCAACCTGGTTTAGAACGAAATCGTAAGATTCTCTTTTCCAATCCTTTTCCTCAATGTAGATGATTGGATGTTATTCATCACATGTGACAGGGAAGATTAAGCATGAGGTCAAAGATGTCCCAGATGAAGATACAACCAGCTTGGATAAGTTTCACGGCTGGAGCCCTTCTTCCGCTGCAGCCGATGCAACTAACACTACTGGGCATCATCTACTGTTTAGTGGCGACGACACCAGAAAGCATCCTTGTGTCTCTGTGCTCGGTAATCTGACGGTTCCTTTGGTATTCCTTCTCCAGAAGTTTTTCCTAGTGCTTCCCCTGCTAGTTCGTTCTATCACGGATGCTGAAAGAAATTTTGTTCATCTTTTCTTTTAAGTAGCTTACGGCCTGTCTCTCTACTACTGTCTAGAGCCAAAACTGCAGGTCCGATCTTTCTAACCTTTGGATCGTACCCATGTGGTTGATGTTTCATCAGCTGTTAGGAGGAGGGACAATCGTAATTGCCGACGATGATTCTACACGACACCAAAGGTGTTAAGCACGCTTATCTTATTTAAATCCAAAGTGTAATCACCTGACTCCATGCGTATATCCGTTGCACAACGCGCAGTTTCGAAATGATGTTGCATCATGAATGGTCGCATACTTACTGATCTTCTGCAGACCCTCATGAGATTGAGGAATTCAATTCGTCCTTGCTAAACAATTTTCCGAGGCTATCGACGCAAAGCAGATAACATATGTGATGAATCTGCTCATGAAAACCTGAAGCAACCGGGAGAATAAGTTATAATCAATAATTGTCTTATTAGTGTAACCTTCAAACTGGATACTTGTGAGTTGTTTAAAGCCCCCTCTTCTGGGTTTAAGGGCGTGAATTGTCAAATATTAAACACACAATTGTGTATGGTCATCTGAGGGATACATGTTAGACTGAAGATCTTGTACTAATATACTTGAAACATTGACATTTGGAATCTGATCAAAAAATTCCAACTTAACAATATTTTAAAATACGTAAAACATCTAAGGTTGCAAAGAATAATCTGAGATATTTTTTTTACTCTTTACAAGAATATGATAAAATTCAAATATTTACATGTCAATTTTTTTTAATTATAAATTAGATGCCCTGGTAAAATATAATATAATTACAATTAATATCTTTGTTCTTTCTTGTAACTATATGCCTAATTATTCTATATTGAATAGGCATACATTAAATATTCAACCTTAGTTTTAAGGTTAAAAAATAAAAAATTCTCAATATTTTAACAAATACAAAAGTAGTATTAAAAAAGCCACTTAGAATTTTAGATATTAATTTTTTATAAATAAAAAAATTTAAACTAAAAATATATTTTTAAATTCAATTATGCAACAAAATATTATAAAATTTAAGATTTTAATTTTAATTTTTACTCATATATTAAATTATATTGGATATATACTATTAAATCTTATTTTATAATAATTACTTAAATTACTATAAATTCGAAGATATATTTTTACAAAAAAAATTCTTTAAAAAATATATTATATATTATTAGAATTTAGTTGTCTAAAACATGATTTTGGAAAAAGCTTTTAAAAATAAGAATATACTCTAATATCATTAAAAAAAATATAAATAAATAAGAAATAAATATAAGATAATAAAGTAATTAGAATGGCTATTATTATTTATAAAGATATTAGGGAGAATGGAATAAAGTTTAGAATATAAAAAAGTTTTTTAAAACACTATGAATGGTTGTAGTCTTACTTCTATATATATTAGCAACCAAGGTCTTATAGAAGTCTCTTAGAAACTACAAGATTAATATATCATGCATCAAGTTTTAAGTTGCTTCAAACTTGACTTTTAAAAAATAAGATATTTATATAAAAAGTTTAAATAGCTGCATTATATATCTACAAAAGTCTAAGTACCTACTCCACATTTAAAAACTTCTTCAAAGCGTCTTACAAAAGATATTATTTATTTAAAATATTTCTATATACTTTTATTTGCTTCAAGCTATTTGAGTGATATATGCATCCATGATATTACTTCCCTTTTTAAGAAACAAATTCTACAAAAATTGATAAAATTATTTCATAAATTCATGAAGTCTAAAATCTATTAGATGGCTTTAAAAAAAAATTCTAATTTATATTTTATATAATGGTTTTTAATTTTTTGATAATTTTAAAAATACACCAAAAATTCAATATTATATTTTAAATAATTTTACAAGAAAGTTAATATATATATATATATATATATATATATATATAAAATTAAAATAAACTAATTTCTTGTATTATGATTATATTTATTATTACGTTTTCATATGTTTAATAGCATTCAAATTTACAATTGACTTTGATACATTAATCATAAAAATCTTTTATTTGCTATTTAACCAAATCATCTCATCTAATTTTTGTTTTATATTACTGGATATTTCTATTTTAAATCACTTATTATTTATGTAAATTATAAGAAATTTAATTCAAATTTTTACATATAAAACAGTTAGCTATAATAACTTATTGTATTTTAAAATAAAAAATAAACAAAAAATAAAATAAATCATCAAATTTTTATTTTAAATAAATAAATAAATAAATAAATAAATAAATAAATAAAATTTTCTATGCTTTTATTTTATAATAAATATTATTTGATGGTGAATTTTTACTTTATCAATACTCTTTTAAATATTTAAGCTTGCTAAAAAGAAATTTATTTAGATGTTTTAATAATGAAAGGTTTTTTGATATAAGTTTTAATTCTTTTAAATCCTTATTTATTATCAGATGTTATATTGAAGAAAAAAATTCTTATTTTATTAAAATATATAAATATATATATATATATATATTTATTGTTATTAAAGCCACATCTCTTTGCCTATGTTATTATTAATTTAATCCAATGCTATTCTAACTCACACAATATGCTCATGACTATGGCTCAATGCGGATGAATTACATCATCATCTTTCAAAATGTATTCACTTTTTTAGCTTAACTTTCATGAGTGCAAAAAGAGCCTCGTTGAGACTGCCCAAGACTCTCTTTTGCCAAAGACTCCTCATGAATGCAAATGATAGCCCTATCCTTTGTATATGAGATTCTTCTTTGTTTGAGGCTTTTTTCAAGAAGCACAAGAGAGACAAGTAAAGATTGCTATTAAGCCCTTTTTTTCCAAACTATGTTTGTTACGATAGAGCTATGTAATTCACATTTATTAGGATTTTAGATTGACTTGTATCTTAAAAGTGACAAGCAAGGATTCACTTCTTTATATATTAAAGTATAGAAAGTGAATGTTGCAATTATATTAAGTTATTCTCTGGCTATTACATAGAAACTAATTTCAAGGATGTTAGTAGTTCTTTATGAATAGATATTGTATTATGTGGTAGTTTTGATTGCTGAATACTTCTTTAATGAATGTCATATCAACAAATTTATTTTGCAATTTCATATTTCTCATTGTAGTATAGATCTTTTATTTTATATCTTTAATATTTTTTATACATAGATTAAAAATAAATAGAAGAGACTTGCTAAGACTTATATTTTTTGATAAATAATCTAAATAGATCAAAAATTTCATGCAAATATTACTTAATAGCTTAATATAAATTAAAATAATTACTTAAAACCATAATCTATGCAATTTATAAATTTTTTTCTAAATTTTTGATTTTTTGTGATAGCTTTTGGTAAAGAAATGCTTTATGCTATTGGATATATTCATGCAAGATAAGTAACAAAAGAAATAGATAAGAACATATTTTTCTTAAGAATTATATTTTTAACAAATTAAATGTACAATAAAAGTTATTTGATCAAATTTCAAGTTATTATTCTTGTGGCTATTTCTTACATCATTGTTATACTTGAAAGATGATGTACATTGGAGCTTCTTTTAACCAATGATACTAACCATGATATTCAAAGGTATTGATATCTATTGTCTTCATATATTGTAAAAAATTAAGCATTTTATTTTTCCTCTATCCTATAGCAATATAATACTTTGTTCTAATCCTACCTCACTTATTTAATTGAATTAATATTGGAATATCTAGCAAAGTGCAATACAATTGATGGAAATGTAAAAAGATTGAAAGAAAGAAATGGAGGATAGTGAGAGAAATGGAGAAAAAGCTATTGAAATTACTTAGAAGCTAAACAAAAAGTAATATTAGATTCACTATAGAAGTTTAACATTGCCAACATAGAGCTTATATTGTCTCATGTTTGCCAAGCAATATGATTGCATAAAAATCTTTGACTATAAAAAGCTATCACATGGATTCTAAACATGTGTTTCATTAGTAATATGGTACCTATGAATCCAATCTATTACTCAACAATAACAAATTGTAAGTCATCTTTTTGTGAGAGTATCAATAAGCCTCAACTATCATTCAATTTGAATGCCTATTACTATACATATCAATTACCAAAAATCTATTCAATATTGTTATATGATTATGCCAAATTTAGATTTTAGAAATGATATGTATAAAAGTTTTTTTAGGACCACAAAAGGCAATGGTTGATCTAAAGAGAGATGATGAATACAAAATCTTTGCTTCTTTATAATTGAAATTATAAAAAAAATAAAAAAATAAAAAGAAAAAGACTTGTTAAAGGGATTATAATTTAACTATTTGTAGAGTAATGTTTCTATGGCCAATTTTCTTATAAATATAAATATTAAGTGCCACTCAATTATCAATGACATTGATCTTTTGTATTAATTTTGCAATGATTATTCTCTAAAATCTTTTGAATTAAACTATATATTTTGATATTTATGAATTATAAATCTTAATAATAATAAGCAATATGTTAAATAAATTTTATAAATTAATAGTTATCCTATAAAATTACTCTCATAATCTCATTCTAATTAATGTAAGAAAGAAATTAACCAAACTAAATTTTGTTTTGTATCTATGTTGAAATTTAAATTGAAATTATATTCTATAGAGTTTTTTGTATGCAAACAAAATTATTAGGCCTTAAAAGTTGATTTCATTCAAAACTCTACTACAAAAACCATGGTTTTTATTCTACAAAATCATAATAATATAACATTTAAAAGACTAAGTTTGATGTTTGTAGACCTATAAGGCAATTGAATAGAAAGCAAAAAAATTAGCCAAAATGATTGTATTCACATGATTTTTTATCCAATACCATAAGTTTGATATCAAACCATTGGTCAAATAAATATACATCATTTTTAATGATGACTATAGATATTAAAGATAAGAATTTAATAAAAATAAATAAATAAGTGAGACTTTTTTCAAAAAAAGATGAAAAAATAAAAATAAAAAAGTATGTATATTAAAAAAAAACTAGAATAGCTATTGCTAAAAGATAAGAAAATTAGAGATCTTTGAAATTAGATTAGAAGTAAGAATAGAATTATTAGGAGTGAAGAAAGCTTCATTCTTCCTTCTATATATATTATCTAAGTAAGAACTATGTGGCAACATTTTGTAGGATCTTGAACACATGTCAAATTAGAGAGACACATGTCTTAATTTAGAAGACAAGTTTCTTATATATACACCATATGGTTAGCTTATATAATAAGCTATTAAGACATGCGACACTTGATTAATGTGTTAGTTAAGTGTTCATCTTATGAAACAAATATAGACATGTATAAAAATGAAATTATATTTATAAAGCTTCTAAGAAGCTTTTCTATAAGATATTATTAAATTAATTTATTTTTATTTACTTCTACCTATTTATATTATCTAGATAGTTACAAAAGTAAATATATATGTTTGTAACATTGTCTCTACTTTTAAAAATAAAATCAAGAAGGAGCAATAATTACATGTTAAAAAAGTTCAAAATGCAATAAATTGTATTTGTCACATACTCTGATCTTTGTTTCCTTTGAAGATAGTTGATAGGTCCTCTTAGCCATCAATAATGTCTTATTTCA